CTATCTATCTATCTATCTATCTATCTATCTATCTATCTATCTATCTATCTATCTATCTATCTATCTATCTATCTATCTATCTATCTATCTATCTATCTATCTATCTATCTATCTATCTATCTACTCACCTACCTACCTACCTACCTACCTATTTATCCATCTATCTATCTATCTATCTATCTATCTATCTATCTATCTATCTATCTATCTATCTATCTATCTATCTATCTATCTATCATTTAAACTATTGTGTTGTGTGCTCGGGCTGTTTCTGGACATCACACCTCAGATCTGAGGCTGGAGAAGCTGCTCTTTCCCACAGACCCCCTACTTCTGGTGTCACTTCTCCTCTCAAGTACTGACTGGAATCCTCAGAGGTGCCAACTCGCACCTCACGGAGGATATATACAGGAAGAACATGGTCCACCAGCAACCACAACCTCATTCAGCAACTCTACAGCCATGGATATCTCCAGTTCTGCTCTTCAGCTCCAAGACAACTGCGCTTTCCTTTTCGGCTGCGAGAACATCCTGGATCCGAGCTACAGCGTATCAGATGCGGGCTACTACAGCGCTGGTAGCAGCCTGTCTCCAACCTCTTCCATAGATTCCTGTGGCTTCTCCCCTCCAGCATACTCTTGCGGAGTGGGACACGAAATACTTCAGATCTTCCCACTCGACAGAAGCACCACCCAGGAGAAGAGCAAGGGCCAGCCACCCAAGAGAACCGGGCGGCCAAGGTCAAAATTCCCTGGGGTGAAGCGGGAAACCGCAAGTGAACGGGAGAAGCTGAGGATGAGGGATCTGACCAAAGCTCTTCAGCATCTCAGGACGTACCTTCCTCCATCAGTGGCTCCTGCTGGGAAAACCCTGACCAAGATTGAGACGCTACGGCTCACTATCCAGTACATCTCCAGTCTGTCTGCTCAGCTTGAATTCAGTGAAGACGAGGCAAATCGTGGAAATCAGGCCGAGGTCGTCACCGCATCAACAATGTTTGACAACTTCAACTTCTGTGCTGCCCCTTCAGTTCCTCAAAGTTTACCAGCTCAGCAGTTCCCATCTATGACCTGTTATCAGGTATGTACAGTATGTTACTTAGATACTATTTATATACTATAAAGTCCTATTACTACTACTACTGTTTATTATGAACTGATTAAATATGTAGTAAATTTAAACTTTATAGGCAATATTGTACATCAATTGTTGTCGATGTTATTGTGTTTTTATTCAAAGTTTAAATTAATAACAATTTAAATATATTTTCCATGTTTTTTATTTATTTATTAGTTTTTTGTCTATATTAATTTTATTTTGGTTGTAATTACTTTACTACATCAAGTTAATCTAATTGAAAATGAGAAATGTTTCCTTGGCAATAATAAAAAAAATAAAATATAAGTGTAAGTTTTTATACATATTTGATTTTTAGTTAACATTTACGTTATTTCAAGGTATAAAAATATATTTTTAGTTTTGGTTTTAGCTTTAGTTTCTTAGTTGTTGTACTGTGTAAAAAAATACATTGACCATAATTTAAATTTAACAATTAATAATAATTTAAAACAATACAAATAAGGTACATATTAAAAATGCTCCTGTTCTTTTTTTTTAACTTGATCTGTGTTTTATTTTTCCAGACTCAGAATCCAGTCGAAGGCGATTTCCTTTCATTCCCAGCTCAGGATTTTTGGATTCCCCAGCAACACAATTTCTTCCATGGACAGTGCTGATCCGATTAAACCAGACTGACATGTACAACCCGAATGCAAATATAAATCTGTGCAATGTCTGTAAGATAATGAAAATTAAATACTTTATTTTTGTATATGTTTGTATAGCTATTTATATTTTTGTATGTAAAAATATATGAATATTTATGAATTGTATTTTTTCCCCTGGCAAATAAAGCCTTGAAAAATTACATCACTTGTTTGAGTCGTTTTTAACTTTATATACAAATGATTTCAATAGTGTGTGCGATCCCTTTATTCAACACAAACCATAAAGCAGCTTCCTAATGAGAGACAGCTGGGTGATGGTCATTCCTCGTTGTTATTCACGTTTAAGGAAACCCTCCTGCAGAGTGAGCATTAATGTGGGCAGGATAGTAAACTAACTCTCACAGGTGAGATCCTTTAATACCCCTCAGGTTGTAAACAAAGCTCTGTGGGGCTCTTCCTCTGAAATGCAAGAGTCTGATACCTCTTTCAAGCAATTATGCATTAAACATTCACATGATGTGTTTCATAATGCAACATAGACCTATCTTAAAGTCACAATGAAATCAAAACAATTCTTATTTTTTATTTTTCTGTCCACAGAAAAATATAAAAATATATATATTTTTAAATATTCATGTGCCATTGTAATCTTCAATCAAAATAACTTCCCTTCCCTCTTGCAGGGACATCTCTTCTCTCATAATGTGTTTACTGGCGTGAGGGCGGGACAACCTGTCAATCACATGAGATCCACCAATAGCAAACCACAACCATCTATTCAAATCCCGATGGACAAAAGTAAGTCCAAGTCTACATAATACAAGAAAATCACAACTACCGTTTCATGCCGATTTTAAGTACCCATGGTGTCAACAACAAGGCGGTGTGTTGAGTATCTCAGGATGCCACATACATACAGTATAAGTTTGCACAGCAAAAAAAAAAAAAAACCTTGCTGTGACTTTGTTTAAGATAAGCACCATTAGTCAGTCCTTCCAGAAAAACGCGGAGTTTTTTTGTGATTGTTGCGGGCAAAAATCCTTGATTGCGCGGCCCGTTTTCTTTAAAAATGCGATGGAATATGCGGGATATTTATGCAATTTTATGCGATGAAATTGCGGGAACTTGCAAAAATTGCGGGAACTTGCAAAAATTGCGGGAACTTGCAAAAACTGCGGTTTGATGAAAAAGAGAAAAAAAGTGATTCCCCCAACATCCTGTTCTCACTAGGCTACTACCTTAATGTAAAGAGTCATTTCTTATTACTTTCTATGATGTAGCAAGCATACTACATCATAGAAAGTGCTGGGAATATTTAATTTCTCATCTTGTTTTATTTTTATTAAATTTTCAAAATCACAGAGTTTGATATCAAGTTCTTGACATTTCTTTTACACATTTTCTGATAAGTATAACATCTGAGAAGTAGCCTAAAACATGAAACAATAATTTGGAAAAAAAAAAAAAAAAAGAAAAAAAGAAAAAAAAAGATAGAGGGCATCACAAACATATTAAATTCCTTTAGCAGAGATACAGATCTTTTGGGCTTTTCGATTTTTTTTTTTAAATTTTAAAGACTCAAAATACATTTTAAAGGCTGTTTTGAAATGAGCAAAGTTGGGTTTTGAGTTAGGCTACTCCACTTAGTTTGATGAATATGAAATTTTCCTAATAATAGAAAAAATCGATAACATACATTTTTCTTATAGGAAAGTCAAAATCATTTGTATGAAGATGACAAATTTAAGACAAGGTTGCAATTCATTTTAAAACCTAGAAATTGAGCCATCTCATTCCAAAAGATTGAAAAATAGGGACATTCAAACAATAAGTGCACAATAGACTCTCTTTCACAATTACAAAATCAGCAATGTTTTATTTCAGACTGTAACGAGTGTAAATAAGGTGTGGCCCCTTTAAGAGCTGCACGCTGAACTGTCTGCAGTGTGTGCGCCTCAAACACCCCATGTCGTGTGCGGGTAATTTCTGTTTGATGCTTATTCTTTTATCTTATTTTGTTTATTAAGTAACGATGTGATGGTAGAACGTGTGACAGACAGTTATACGAGTTCGATTTGTGAGATGTCAATCGCCTCCGTGAGTCTTTCTGGCCTCTGCAATAACTTCAGCTGTGAGCTATCCCGTCGCGTAATTGCGTCACTTCATAACGTTCCCATGGAAACCGGAGGAAATGGCTGCTCTTGTATGAAGCAAACGCAACATTTTTCAACTTTCTGCGAAGATATATGTGACTTTTTTTTGCAACGAAAATACGAGGATTATGAAATCATGCAAGCCCCGCATATTTTGCGTGGAAATCGGCATTTTATGCGGCGAAAGTGCGGCTTATTCGAAAAAATGCGGCCCCCGCATAAATATGCGGACTTTGGCTGATTTTGCATTGAATTCAGCGATCGCATAATCGCGTTTTTCTGGAGGGACTGATTAGTGACGTGTGTGACAGCTGTTCTTCAATGTCCATTTATGTCGTAAGTGTCTTAAAGGTGACAAGTCTGCAGCTGCTTTCAGACCCCATAATAATGAATGACTTCCTCACCCTCCCTTCCTCCCATTTGTGCAGTCTTGTCTACTTCCTCTGTTGAGTCCCTAATGACACAGAAGAATTAACCACGTTCATCTTACAGAATAAAGAAGTCCTGTTACATCTTGGCCTGTGTTATGGACAGTCCATTACACCATTATGTGCAAAATAAGTATGTTTCCCATTAATTTCCTCCAGATGTTTTAGAAACAACAACACATACACACACACATACTGATATTCCTATCATTATGAGGACAATCCATAGACTTTTACTGTACAAACTGTATAGCCTATACTAACCCTAAACACATTTTCAGCATTTTTACATTTTCAGAAAAGAATTTCATTTGATTCATAAGATATTTTCCTTATGGAGACTCAAGGTCAAAAATGATTGGTATTACTATACTTGTGGGGACATTTGGTCCCCATTACGTAGGGTTTACCAGGCGCACACATATTGGGTTTCTATTTCCTAACCCCAAACACAACTCTCACAGAAAACTTTCTACATTTTTACATTTTCAAAAAAACGGAGACCAAAACATATCCCCACAATAACAAGGATCTTCGTTGGGACATTTTTCCCCATAACTTAGGGTTTACCAGGACCACACACACAAAACTAGAGATCTTGAGCATAAATAGATTTGATATTTATTGCAAAATATGTAAATGCAAATATAAATTATTTGAGTAAAGACTGACTTCAGAATTATAATTATGAGTAATAAAATACCACAAAATAGTTTAATCATCTAATTTGTTCTGAGGCACAGAACAGCTGATAAAGAGACTTTATTAGAAAAAGTCTCTATTATTCACAAGGAGAAAAAAAAAAAATATATATATATAGTAAAAGAGTCAAATATTGTACACAAATATATAGAATATTCATATTGACATTGCCTTTAGACTGACTGTTCAATCAGCCAATTCATCACATGCTCTTTGTTTTCAGATACCCATTTAAAGTTGGCTTCAGTCTGCTCAATGGCCTCTTCTATTGCATTCAAGCTAGTATTAAAACTGCTTGCTGCAATGTCTTCTTTGAATCGTTGTAACTGTGATTTGCCAAAGAAACGGAGAGAAAGAAAGAGATAAATACACACTTTTTCATATTTTCAGCAAGACACATGCTACACATCTCAGAAAAAGAAAAAGAAAAATATATTACAGCATGTCAACAGACCATTCATTTCATTTATAAATTAAAAATACAAATTGTTACATTGTAACCAGTGTTCAAGTTTGGGGTCAGTATTGTTTTAATTTAACATTGTAAATAATTATCAATTAATATCTTTATTCAGCAAGGATGCATTCAAGTTGATCAAATAATTTATTTTATATTTGTCAAAAACATTTGAACAACTTGTGATTATTAATCATATAATCATAGGAATAAATTGCATTTTAAAATAGCCTATATTATGATAGAATATTTTAAAATGTAATAATAATTCACAATATTTTTACTATATTTTTGATCAAATAAATAAAATCTTAGCGCAAGAGAGAGTGAAAAAAGCATACCAATCTTAAACGTTTGAACAGCATTGCATTAATGTTTGTTTTATATTTGACCCATCCAAAAAGCAACCTCTTATTAAAATAGCACAAACCTGTTGCAGTTCAAATTCTGTAGAAAACCTTTTTGTGGCGCCGTGAATCAGATCATCAAATGAGGGTCCTGCATCGGAACTATAGATACCGTATGACGTAACAGAAAAAGTCAGTAGAGAGTAAATACTTTGTGTTTTGCTGAAAGAAGGAAATGCACTACTTACTCTTTATTTATATACTCCCAGTTGGCTCTGAGGAAGTCCCAAGCCAACGGCTGCCCTATTACATTGCCCGAAACATACACAATAGCAAAGAGAATGCCCTGGTTCCTAATCAGGTTTGGATCTGTTGTGTATTCCAGGTACCTTTAAAAAACAAAAGGCAATTACCAGCGCAGTCTCATCCCAAGACGTCATATAACTGACGTCTTGGGACGTCTTTTGACCATACGTCAACATCCGCCTTTTTAGGGTACCCTTAATCGTCGGTTAGATGACATTATCGGATCCTAACCCTACCCCAGAACTAAACCTACCCCTTCACCTAACCGACGTTAAAGGTAAAGCGTCAGTTGTATGACGGCCCGGGATCGTCATGTAACTGACGTTTAAGGGTACCCTAAAAAGGCGTATGTTGACGTATGGTCAAAAGACGTCCCAAGACGTCAGTTATATGAATTCTTTGGATTAGACTGTGTTACAATTACATGAGTATTTTTACATCTACAAGTTGACTTTGAAAGCATTAGATCCCACCCTCTCGACCCTAAAGGCATTCCTCCTCCAAGCAAACTAAAGCGTCACGAGACGGCGTTAAACTACCTCATGTCTCAAAGCACATGACATTACAATAGTAATGAACATAACTTAAAGAGCACTGACCTGTACCCCCTGACTGCTGCAGATTAATTTTGTCGTTGATAGTGTTGCCATTGAAAAGCATACAACAGAGTCACAAAACGCTCAGAGAATAACGTCATGGATTTTTCATCTCTACCAAGTTACAGTAGTTATGCCGTGAAAGCAGCATAAGCTTGTTGTTTTGTATCGGGAGGAATTGTAAAAGGTGGCCGCTGTTTCGGTTACTCAGCGTCTGACGTCTGTCAATTTCCCTGTCTAAATACACTGGCAGTTTTTGCTCTTGACCATTTGTCTACTTACATGACATATTTCCTGTATTTGGCCCAGGTGTTCAAGTAGGCGTGTTCAACTTGCAATGGAATATTTTCCTCAACATCTCACGATTTCGGGGCCTGAAATACCTGCCTTTAAACACCTTACACGGCTTGCAGTCTATGAGGTAAACCAAACGCTATTGGCTATTTAAAATGGCGAGGAGCCATTAAATATTTCCCCCCTTAGCTTCCTGTTTCAATGGAAATTACCTCAATGCATCATACCAAGGCACTTCAGTGGCCTTTAAAACAAATTCATTGAAATAAACACTGTCTTGCATGCTACAGTGTTCAAAAGGTTTGGGTCAGTAAGATTTTTTATATGTTTTTAAAGTCTCTAATGCTCATCAAGGCTGCATTTGCTTATGCTCACCTGTTTAACAGCCATGGCTCTTTAGTGCATGCTAGACCAGATAATAGGTCATCTTCCTCTGCAGCAATAGTACTGTTCTTAAACATCTCCCATCCAAAATTCCACTCCTCAACACCACCAGCAGCAATGGCATTACAGTACACCGTGCTTCTCAGATTTGGGGGAATTCTTGAGTGAAAAAAAACTTAAATGAACTGAACATAACAGAACCGAAACACTTTAAGAATTGAAGATCAATACTTGAATATACAGAACTAGAAAGAGCTGAACTAGTTTGAACTGAACTCTGACTTGAATACCTAGAAAGAGCTGAATTGAATTAAACTTCCATGAACAGAATAAACCTATCTGGCTTGAACTGAATTCTGACTGTAACTGAACTGAATTGAATCTCTGAACTGAACTAAATTAAACTAAGCTAAACTGGCATGTACTAGATTTAGATTTCGGGCTGAGAGAAGTTGTTGTCATACGGGTTACTGTCAGGCTTCTTCATCCATTGTCTGTACCACATCCCAGTGAGCTCTGAACATCCTTTCACTCCAGTTTTGCAGGCCATTGAAATAGCATTCAGTTGGTTGTTTCTATAAACAGATTTCACACAAATCAGACAATATTTCAGTAACGTCCATTGCTGATATTTCTGAAACAGCAGTGATATAATATGTGTTCCAATTCAGTGGCTGCATCCTTCAAAAGACATGGACCTCAAAGGCCACACCTTCGAAGGCCGCTAAGTTCAGATGGAGCGTTGTGACAGTCTAGCCTACGGAAGATTGTTCTTGTTGCCTAGCGACTCTAAAAGCTGCCATTGACGAGTGGCAGTAACATTTGTACTGGACGTTTTTTGAAAGTTATATCCAACTGTCTGAAAACGAAACAGGGAAATCCGAAAGTGTAAGTGTAATCTGGCAATTTCCCTTCAAAAGGTCCTGTTGTCACTGCCACACAATAAATTCTGGGGTAGGGTAGACCGCGAAGAGTCCATCTGTTGGATCCTTAATTGGCCGGGAAATGAAGGTGGATTTCGAGGCCACGTTTGAAGGAGCTTTCAAATTGGGACAGTATTCGTCACACCACTGTGGCGCAATCAGCCTTAGAAGGATGCAATCTCTGAATTGGGACGTAGCTTTATTTTAAAGTGGTCATTTCATATTTAATTTTTTATATTATTTTTATTTCCACTGAGGTCTACGTAAAGTCCCAGTAATAGTTTAGTTTTGGACCAAAAATAACCATATTCCACTTTTTTTGCAGTTGTGCCTAGGCTAAATGGTTGTGGCGAGCAGCAGAAGGCCGAGGGCCATGAGTGAGCGGCGCGAGGTGGTGTAATTGCCACCTCGGCGAATGTTAAAAATTGAAACTTATTGAATGTTCGCCGGTTCCCGCCTCCTTCTTCCTGGGTTTCGGCACCAGTGTAACAAGGTTGAGTTGTTATGGGAAGAAGGAGGCGGGAACCGACAAGCGTTCAACAAGTTTAATAAAATAAATCAACAAATACAAAAATGAAAGTATAAGCCAGCAGCCCCTCGCGGACAACTGCTGGCCACACAAAACGCAACATAAAATCCAGGCTTGGCCTTTCTTGATCTCCACTGTCTTCGCTCCTCCTTTATGCCTCCGCTCCTCCGTGAGAGATCCGAGACCGGTGCGTCTCACACATGTCGCTCATCGGCAATCACGCCACCGGCCTCGCACCGCTCTCCCACAGCCCTCGGCCTCGTCCTGCTCGCCACAATGGTTTTTATGTAAACATCATCTTTGCATGCAAAATTACCAGTGTTGCTCAAGATTTGACAGATTTCCTCACATTTTATTCATATTTACCACATTGTTCTTGTAATAGTATATATTTCCTCATTACCTCGGTATGTTCATGTCTTTTTGTGGTCCGTCTGTTGTCAATATAGAACGAGTTGCTTAGTTTCAATAAATGTTCCTTTTTACTTAGGAGGAAGTATCATACGTTTAACTTTGGGTTGTCCAAACTTAGTCTTGGAGGGCAGCTGTCCTGCAGAGTTTATCTCTAAACTTGCCTTAAAACATCTCCCTGGAAGTTTTTAGGATGCCTAGTAGGGATGTGCCCGAAGCCTAATGGCGTACAGAAAGGCACGAAAAATGAAATACACATGCCACTAAAAGGACATGGTTAGGCTTGCTGTGGTAGTCGGCTATATTATAGTACATCAGATTTCACTTACTGTATCACATAAGATAGAAGATAGTAGGGAGGATTTCTGATACAATGTCAGAGAATTTGGTGCACAACAGATCCTTGAGCTTGTCACACCAATTTAAATTTGTTTATGATGGATGGCGTGCGAATTGAGACACAACACTTGATTAGTTGGTTCAGGTGTGTTTAAAGGGATAGTTCACTTTGAAATTATTTTTTTACATGTTTTAACTTACCTCAAAGGCATCCAAGATGTAGGTGTCTTTGTTTCCTCAGTATTTTCAATTTTGATATTTTTAGGTCAAACCGTTCTTGTCTGTCAGTCATATAATAGAGGTTTATAGGGTCCACCTCAAAGAGCATGCACAGAGAAATCCAAATTAAACATGATTTAATGACTCGTAAATGTAAGTACACATTGATGGCCTAAGGCACGAAACGAGCGGTTTGTGTGAGAAAACGAACAGTATTTATATCGACCCAGGGTGGACCCCATATACCTCCATTATATGACTGACAGACAAGAACGATTTGACCTAAAAATAACAAAATTGAAAATACTGTGGAAAATCAAAAAATTAATTTCAAAGTGAACTATCCCTTTAATTGGGGTTGGAGCTGAACTCTGCATGACAGTGGCCCTTCAGGATTAGACAATTTTATATCTCCAAAGATCCAGAACAATTTGATTTCCAATGATGTGACCCCTTTAAAATTCTTGTGTGGTCATAGTTAAAGTTATAGCTAATGTGTTGTGTTACTAGAGTATTATTTAGAATAAACTGTGAAAGAGGGAATCTTGTATTTACTGGTCCATGTATCTTGGGGGTTTCTGAGTCCAGTTTGATGTGATAACTTTGAAGTGGTCAAAAAGAGGTTGCACCTTTCTCCGCATGTAAGTCTGGAGTGTTTTAAAGAAATAGATAAATGAACACATTTCATACTGAACAGTCTTGAATGAACATTCTCTGACTCTGGGTATTGAAAATTAATAAAAATGTAGAATGCATGTATATATATATATATATCTACATATCTATATGTCTATATATCTATATACTGTATATCTATATATATATGTGTGTGTGTCTATATATATGTATATGTACCTGCAAAGGTCCATAAACTTCTGATCGGTCAAACATGAGGAAAAAGTTTTCTATATGTCTTATTGCAGCTTCCCATGGTATGTATTCCTTCTCCTCAGAGAGATACTTGGTTGTTTCCAGAGCCAGGGTTATGTTGATTATCTCGGCCCTTTGGATGATCAGATCCAGATGAAAATCTATTTTATTATTTTGAGCAGATGTATTATGTCGAATGATTAAATGTCTCTGGGGAAGAGAGCTTACCATGCCAAAATAAACGCATCATCGATGATCTGGCCCCTATTAAGAACTGAAATAACCTACGTGTACAGTATAGAAGAATATATATTGAATATGCTGATTGTTTTAACTTAACTAAATGTAATGAGATACTCACTGTATGATCTGAATTCAGTTGTGTAAAAAGACGTTCCCAGTTGTGGGAATCATAATTAACCCTGTAGAATCCTGTGATATTCAGGTTGGCCAATACCCAGTCAGTATCTGTCTTCATGGCCTCATTTGAAGCAGTTTTTGTAAGCAGCCAGTGCCGACCCATGTTGTTACCAGTCTTCATCCAGGTGATTGGCACATACCATTCGTAACTGCAATTATTTTTGAAGATAGAAACACAGTATATTCAAGTTCTGAAACAATAGGATATGACTCCAAACTAATGTTGTCAGAGTAAATATACTTGTAGTCAGATGTCATGATGCTGTCTACTGAGTATGTCAGGAAGTGCTGTTGAGAGATGGTTCCTGTTTGAGTGTCAATAGTTACTACAGGGAAACCCATCTGAAGAATCCAGCGATTCATAATTTCATTTATTGGGGCTGGTAGCTGGATGCTTGAATCTGCATCTACAACCTAAAAAAAAACATTTTTATACAAATCAAATTATAATAAAATTCATGGCTAAAAATAAATATTTAAGCAATACACAAAATACATAAATTTTGTAACTTACATCCTGCAGTTTTTTCCAAAGATCTGTGTACACAGTGTTGTTGTATGCACACTCTTTCAAGTAGATCTGTGGAAAATGTGTGTTATTCTAAGAAAAAGTCACTCAGTAACACATACATCCTTTAAAATACACATACATGAAGTCCTTTGGCAAAGACAGGCTCTGACAGAAATTCAGACAGCATTCTCAGTATTGCAGCCCCCTGCAACGAAAACAAATTATCCTTATTTGTTAACTAAAAACACTGCTTAATAGCGTTATTTCAAATTGTCTTTAGCACATGATGGAAACCTTGTTATACGTGATTTCACCAAAAAGCCTTTTGATTTGATCCGGTGTAATGACATCATCTTCTCTTAAAGAGAGCGGGTGTGAGGAAACACTAGCGTCGGCTTCAAATGCACTATGAACCTGCTGCTGCACCATCAGATCTTTCTTCAAGAGAGAGAGAGAAAAGACAGCTTTATACAGCTGAATATTGATTAAGCTACTTGACTTTATATCACTGTGGCATTGTGAGAGATAGGGTATCACCAAAGTGTGGGTTGCTTCACAAATCGAGTCCAGGCAGAGATCAAGTCATTGGCTTCTTTTTAATAATCAACTCAAATCTCCAAAACTTTTTAACCAAAACACTTCAAATTTATCTTTATGTGGCCAACAAAAAACAGCCAGTCTCTCTGTTCTCAACTCATTAACAGCTTTTCTCCTTCATTCGCACCAGCTGAGGAAACTGGCAACTGTAGTCTGTGACTAGGTGGCCATCTTTGTTTGTAGTCCCCATGCTGCAACCACCTAGACACCACATACTTTGCCTCTATGACACACCCTCTCACAATGCCACAATCACGGAATGTTACCAAGCCACGTCTGCAAAGCTTAATTCATCTCGAAATTATACCCTAATTTATTACTGGGCAAAGAGGATGCAATTTTTCATTGGAAAACAGAAAGCGAGTTTTTGCGCGTCGTAATTGTTTTTTAGTGTGATACTCAAACAATGGTTCATGGTGCAAGATGCTGAAAACTGCAGAATAATGGGCTGTTTACACGACACCATTTTAAAATTTTTGTGTTTTGGCCGTTCATTTACGTCATAGGGGCCTGAAAATGCAAACTTTTGAAAACGGTTTTCAAAGTGCAAGTTTTTGAAAACGATACACTTATCGTCACCATGTAAACCATGGTAAAATACAAACTCTGGCGATGTCATGCATGCATATTACGTGTTCGTCTATAGGCGTGTAGTGATTCTCTGCAAAGCGACCTTGCCAACTACTAGCCTGAAAGTGCTGAAAGCACTTGTGGAAAATCCCTCGCGCCCAAGAGAATCGAATAACAAAGATGTAATTTTGCAGTCCTATTGCAGTTGACCAGTTTGACAGGTCTTGTCCTCAACTCTGTCACGATGTTGGTGGTTCCAACTCCAGAGAGAATAAGGTCAATTCTGAGGACTGTAAGTCGTCTTCAGGTTGGCCGCATTCAGAAGTAAATTGCTCTCTTGAGACTCTTGGGGAAAGCTCACATCAGCATCAATAGTAGTAACACTCGGACTGTTGTGGCTCAGATCTTTCCAACAATGGCTCTTTCAAAAACATCTGTGTCCAATACAAGACAAATTCAAGAAAATCAGTCACATGTTGCTGCATGCAAGCCCTAGCACCTCGGTCACAGAAGTTTCTTGTCAGAGTATTTCTATTGTGACCTCCACCCGCACAGCGCACATCAATGTGCTAGAGTTGACAGCGGTGTTTCTTATTCTTCACCTTCAAACTGTTCAATTTCAGACATATTTTGATTTGCAAGGTGACCATTTTCTATATCAACTATCAACCAGAGGCACAACAACAAGGTAACATAGTGCGCTTCAGGTTGCTCACAACCTGCTTGCGGGCTATGCCCTTTCACGAGACTAGACTATACACCCAGAACTGGTGCTAGTGATATGGAGGATGTATGGCACCGTGGCAGTAGATGTGATCGGACACTCAGTCACGAGACTGGACTCTACACCCAGAAATGGTGCAAGTGATATGGAGGATGTATGGCACCGGGGCAGTAGATGTGATCAGACACTCTGTCAGGAGACTGGACTCTACACCCAGAACTACTGCAAGTGATATGGAGGATGTATGAGACCGGCGGCAGTAGATGTGATCGGACACTCAGTCACGAGACTGGACTCTACATCCAGAACTGGTGCAAGTGATATGGAGGATGTATGGCACCGGGGCTGTAGATGTGATCAGACACTCAGTCAGGAGACTGGACTCTACACCCAGAAATGGTGCAAGTGATATGGAGGATGTATGGCACCGTGGCAGTAGATGTGATCGGACACTCAGTCACGAGACTGGACTCTACACCCAGAAATGGTGCAAGTGATATGGAGGATGTATGGCACCGGGGCAGTAGATGTGATCAGACACTCTGTCAGGAGACTGGACTCTACACCCAGAACTACTGCAAGTGATATGGAGGATGTATGAGACCGGCGGCAGTAGATGTGATCGGACACTCAGTCACGAGACTGGACTCTACATCCAGAACTGGTGCAAGTGATATGGAGGATGTATGGCACCGGGGCTGTAGATGTGATCAGACACTCAGTCAGGAGACTGGACTCTACACCCAGAAATGGTGCAAGTGATATGGAGGATGTATGGCACCGGGGCAGTAGGTGTGATCGGACACTCAGTCACGAGACTGGACTCTACATCCAGAACTACTGCAAGTGATATGGAGGATGTATGGCACCGGGGCAGTAGATGTGATCGGACACTCAGTCACGAGACTGGACTCTACATCCAGAACTGGTGCAAGTGATATGGAGGATGTATGGCACCGGGGCAGTAGATGTGATCAGACACTCAGTCAGGAGACTGGACTCTACACCCAGAACTACTGCAAGTGATATGGAGGATGTATGGCACCGGGGCAGTAGATGTGATCGGACACTCAGTCACGAGACTGGACTCTACACCCAGAACTGGTGCAAGTGATATGGAGGATGTATGGCACCGGGGCAGTAGATGTGATCGGACACTCAGTCACGAGACTGGACTCTACACCCAGAACTGGTGCAAGTGATATGGAGGATGTATGGCACCGGGGCAGTAGATGTGATCGGACGCTCTGTCATGTGGCAGGGTGTCGCTGGAAGACTGGACTCCACAAGAAGATGTGATCACAGACAGTCGGATGTCTCACTGCCTTCACTGGTTTTCCCTGATGGATGAACAGGGATTTCTGGGGTGGATGCACTAGCCCATGACTGGCCAGACACGACACTATATCAAGGTTCAAGGTTTATGTTTATTGTCATTCCACTACATGGAGGACATACAGTGGGACGAAATGTCGTGCCTCACAGGACCACGGTGCTACATAAATACAAACATACAAAGATGTAACAGACATAAACATTTTTTTTCAAGCAACTATACAAAAGTGCATGAAAAAGTACATAAATATAATTGCTGAGTACATTTTTATACATGCAGCAGTGTGTGAAAAGTGTATAGTGCGTAATTTCCAAAGTGTCTTAGAATGTTTTCAGGAGGTAGGGGTTAACATGGGGGTTTAAGAGGGTGTAGTTTGAGTTCAGTTCAAGTTCAGGGCCCTCACGGCCTGGGGAAAAAAGCTGTTGAGCAATATCTGGTGGAGTGGGCTCTGATGTGTATCTGATATGCTTTCCCCCGGTAACAACCACTGACTGGTGTTCTAGCCGGGATCCATTACACTGCTCAGTGGAATGTATTTTGGAGTTTGTGCAACATCTTTTGGAACTTGGGAATTCTACATCCACACTAAAGCTGCATGTGGCAGCTGTAGCAGCTCACTGATCAGAGTTTATTGACTCTTCACCTGGGTTTGACCAGCTGATTTTTGCTTTCTTGAATGGAGCTATTCATCTGTGTCCTCCACGGAGCATGCTGTGGAATCCGACATGGGACTTGGCTATTTATCATTTAAGACTGCATTTCTCTTCGTCATTACAACAGCAGAGTGCATGAGTGCACTCCATATGTTATCAGTGAGTTCCCCCTGTGTGCGCTGGAGTAGTGTAGTGTTACATTGTGACCCAGTCCGATATTTCTGCCATAGACTGTAGAAATATGGACAAAGCGTCTGTGACGTCACCCATAGACTCTCTGAAGAACGGATTTGAGGCTGTTTATGGGGGGTATGGACGGCGTAATACTGGAAAATCTTGGCAAATACAAAATACAAATGTTTCAGAAAGGATACAGAGGTGGTATGATGTGTTGTGTCAGATCATGGCCGAGACGTCAAATTCACTCGGCGCAGCCCGTTATCAGCTGTCAATTAAAGTTAACCGCCCTTATTTGTCATACGTTTTATATCCAAATATGATCGAGTTAGAAAAAAATTCACCCCCATGACAGTTGTCAGGCACGCGGAAAATATTGAAGATTACAATAAAAGTCCATGGGACCAAACTGTAAACATGTGAATTTATGCTGTGAAAACGGACATTATAACATGACATGTATGGATATTTGCTCCCTTTTGGGACCGGCCTCTTGCGGATTTGAGATGTATTGCAGTTTATCGCACTTCCGGGTAGGCTTCATCTTTCAGATTAGAATGTTGCCGCTTGATTTCTACCCAAGATTTTGTCTCCAATGTTTATGAACCAGCCTATTGTGTTGCATTGGCAGGAGATCAAGCTGAAGGCTTATATGGATAAGACATCAGCCTGGCGTAAGACTGATCAATTGTTTGTCTGTTTTAATGATACACGCAGAGATTCTACACTTTCTAAACAGAAACTGGTGCACTGGGTGACGCAGGTAATATCTCATGCTTACGAGTCTGTGGGGAAGTCTGCATTCTATACATGCTTTGGCAAAGTCTTGGGCAGCGTTCAGTGGAGTATCGCTTTCTAGGTATTCGTTTTCCACTTGTGCTTTCAGCACTGCCTGGCAGTCAAGGAAATTGTACACGGGTTACGAATTCCTAGTGTATTCTTATTGTGTTTGCAACTATTTCGGGAACATAAATCTTGATGATCTTCCTAAACTTGGGGAATATAGTGAAAACAAACTTACAATATTCCAGGTGGGCTCAGCATAATCAGCTCCAAGAACTGACACATAACTCGCAAAGCCTTCGTTGAGCCACAGGTCATTCCACCATCTCATGGTCACAAGGTTCCCAAACCACTAAATTAATTTATTGTTAAATTGATTAGACAATTAAAACTGTTTAAAAAGACTTCTATTAGAAAAATACCACATACCATGTGTGCAAGTTCATGTGAGATTGTAGTGACCACAAATTCTTTATTTTTATTGGAGGACACTTTAGGGTCGTAGAAAAGAGATTCTTCTCTGTATGTGACCAGACCCCAGTTTTCCATTGCTCCATCAGAGAAATCAGGCAGTGCGATTTGATCTAGGGATTAGAAAGTAATAGTCTGACTGTTTTCCCCCCCAATGGCCCCTAAAAGTGTTTATGTATGTTACAGACATAAAGTTTGGAAAGAACTTGCTTGTTTAAACTCTCACCTGATTTGGGTAGAGGGTATTTGATGTTGTAATAGTTTTCGAAATACTTCAAAATTGGGAATGTCACATTAAGGGCATAATCTCCATGTCCATTCTCAATGGCATCTCTACGTCCCCAGATTCTGATCTAAAAAAAGAAAAAAGATCTATGCATTTGGTACCCATTTTTACATACCCATTTTTATCTTGTTGTCTGCATTTAAAAGATTTGTATAAAAGGAGAAGAAGAGAGCAAGTGAGTAAGAATATCTACCAAAACTTTGGCATCTGGTGGGGATTGTATGCTGATAAATTCACTGACGACGAAGGCCAATAGATATGTTGACATTTTTTCAGTTGGCTCAAATCTGGTCAGTAAAACCTCTTGATTATCTATAGTAATGTTTTCAGTGCCTAGAAACGTGAGAACAGGAGTTTAGAATAAAATGTCAACAGATAAATCCATGCAATACCATTCAAAGGTTGGGGGTTAATTAGATTTTTTGTGTGTTTTTAAATAAGTCTCTTATGCTCACCTTTTAGGCTGCATTTATTTGATCAAAAATATTGTAAAAAGAGTACAATTGTGAAAAATTTTAAATAAATTTTTCTATTTTATTATATTTTAAATATCACACGTGTCATATGGTCTTCCAGAAACCATTCTAATATCCTTTTTGGTGCTCAAGAAACATTTCTTTTTATTATCAGTGTCAAACAGTTGAAACAGCTATTCATATTTTGTAGAAACCTTGATAGAAAAAGACCTTTATGTAAAACAGCATTATTTTAATTCCATTTTATATATTTAATCAAAATGTCTTTTCTGTCACTTTTGATCAATTTAAAGCATCCTTGCTGAATCTAAGTAATATATATATATATATATATATATATATATATATATATATATACACTCACCGGCCACTTTATTAGGTACACCTGTCCAACTGCTCGTTAACACTTAATTTCTAAGCAGCCAATCACATGGCGGCAACTCAGTGCATTTAGGCATGTAGACATGGTCAAGACAATCTCCTGCAGTTCAAACCGAGCATCAGTATGGGGAAGAAAGGTGATTTGAGTGACTTTGAACGTGGCATGATTGTTGGTGCCAGAAGGGCTGGTCTGAGTATTTCAGAAACTGCTAATCTACTGGGATTTTCACGCACAACCATCTCTAGGGTTTACAGAGAATGGTCCGAAAAAGAAAAAACATCCAGTGAGCGGCAGTTCTGTGGGCGGAAATGCCTTGTTGATGCCAGAGGTCAGAGGAGAATGGCCAGACTGGTTCGAGCTGATAGAAGGGCAACAGTGACTCAAATAACCACCCGTTACAACCAAGGTGGGCAGAAGAGCATCTCTGAACGCACAGTACGTCGAACTTTGAGGCAGATGGGCTACAGCAGCAGAAGACCACACCGGGTGCCACTCCTTTCAGCTAAGAACAGGAAACTGAGGCTACAATTTGCACAAGCTCATCAAAATTGGACAATAGAAGATTGGAAAAACGATGCCTGGTCTGATGAGTCTCGATTTCTGCTGCGACATTCGGATGGTAGGGTCAGAATTTGCCGTCTACAACATGAAAGCATGGATCCATCCTGCCTTGTATCAACGGTTCAGGCTGGTGGTGGTGGTGTCATGGTGTGGGGAATATTTTCTTGGCACTCTTTGGGCCCCTTGGTACCAATTGAGCATCGTTGCAATGCCACAGCCTACCTGAGTATTGTTGCTGACCATGTCCATCCCTTTATGACCACAATGTACCCAACTTCTGATGGCTACTTTCAGCAGGATAATGCGCCATGTCATAAAGCTGGAATCATCTCAGACTGGTTTCTTGAACATGACAATGAGTTCGCTGTACTCAAATGGCCTCCACAGTCACCAGATCTCAATCCAATAGAGCATCTTTGGGATGTGGTGGAACGGGAGATTCGCATCATGGATGTGCAGCCGACAAATCTGCGGCAACTGTGTGATGCCATCATGTCAATATGGACCAAACTCCCTGAGGAATGCTTCCAGCACCTTGTTGAATCTATGCCACAAAGAATTGAGGCAGTTCTGAAGGCAAAAGGGGGTCCAACCCGTTACTAGCATGGGGTACCTAATAAAGTGGCCGGTGAGTGTATATATATATATTATCTTTGTAACCCCAAGCAGTTGTAGGAAGAAAAAAAACATTTAAAATAATTGTCTGTAATGTTGGTCCGGTATGCTTATATAACACTGTTTATGGGGAAATAATATAGTAAAGCATCAGTAGGTGATTAAAGAGCAGGTTATTAACCACACCTAACAATCAAGGCTACCATTATTTACCAACTTCAAAGAAAAACTTCAGTCGAGTTGACATAATTGGTAAGGTCTAAACTTCTAAAGTGTTTCATATTGGCAATGTGTCTTCAACTTCAAAAGATTTGAGAACTCAGAATCTCTGGTTGATACTGTGTCTTATTGAAGCATCAAGAAGCATATGTTCAATGTCGTAAATGATAGGATTTTCATAATGTATATGATATTTATTTCAGAAAGGTATTTCAGTTGTGAAAATTGTTGAATTATTGTTTCAACCAACAGCCTAGAAGCATATGCAAATGGACTCAATGGATAATGTCGAGCTTTGTTTACTGAAAAGGCAATATTGTCTGTATTGTCTTATATTTTCTAGAATTATTAATAGAAAATACTATCTTGCCCTCAATAGGTTTACATTTTTTACTGATCTTTGCACTAACCCAGCTCCATGCCGTTAGCAAGGGCCACAGTTCCAGGGGGGTGTAGGAGAGTCAGGTGGAACACGGCCTTCATTGACGGCTCATCAAAGCAGGGGAAAGTTTTCCGGGCGGAAGTGGGCTGCATTTGAGTTGTGGCAACAACTCTGCCAAAATGAAACTTATATTAGTTAAGTTTGTAAGAACTAGCTATGTGATTTAGCTTTAGTCTTTACAAATGTCTTGTTCAATTGGGAAATATTTAGTAATTCAAAATGAAAATAAACAGCAGTAACTTGGGGTGTACGATTTCTAGAGCTATTTTAAACATGTTTAATGTATACATTAAGTTTATATTAAAACAGGATTAGACCTTATTAAAATGAGGACATTAGGACAAAAACATGAGAAATGCATCTTGAGACAAAACAATGACACATTTTAAGAAGTGTCAGTACAAGTCTCTTTCAACAGCTCAAAGATGCATTTTAGTCTGGGACTAGGATAAAGCCTTGTCTGTGTATTATACTGTGTATATTGAATATTCCCCCAGATTCCCCCATATTTTTATAAAACAAGCTATAATTCTGTCATGGCCTGATTGATATACTGTACATAAAACATATTTTTTCATTTTAAAGTTAAATTTTAAATTAAATGTGTCACAGGACAAAAAAAAAAATCTGTTACAGGACCTAAAATACCTTAACATTTTACAATTACAAAATTAAAAAGGTTGAATAAAAATAATTGTCAACCACCTACCTAAATACAGGGATTATATTAAAAATAAAATGTTTTGTTATAAATCATTTAATACTTATGAAATAATATTAGTAATTAATTAATTAGTGTATGTGTTTACCTTGATGGTGATTACATAAGCGTATTAGGTACATAATCTCCTCTTTCTTACCAAAGTCATTTCAGCAGTAATTATATATCTTACTTTTTCACGCCATTTTCTACGTATTCGCTTCTGTAAAATCCTCTGAGGTCATCTGATAGCTCTCCACGGAATTCTGTGTAGAGCCAATATGATTTTCCAACTTGTATATTTTCTTTCAGAAGAATCACCATAAACTGTGTTTTTGTTTCAAACCATGTTTTCAGGATGGCCGGAGCGCTTGTCCCTCCCAAACCCATCAGTTTCGCATGGTGCATCTCCGACGTCAAGGTGAAGTTCAGTTTATTGGAATGAATAATGATCAGGTTGGTCTCCTTCACGCACTTGAATGCCACTCCAGATTTCCCAGTGAAAATGTACATCCCATTTTCGTCCGTCACCAACCGAGGCCAAAGCGTCAAATTGTAGTACTCAGGACGAAGGGTGTCAGGCAGTCTGTACTTGTCTCTGGTGTGTTTTGATGGTGCTGAGGTGCTGTATGGTTCAGAAGTGCTGTAGGGTTCTGTTGTCGTTTCCACACCAGTCTCGTCTATGCTATTTACCTTGTTTTTCCGTTTCTCTTGAGCGTAGAGCACTGATAAAGCAAGGATGGTGAGCACGGCCCCAACGCTCAGCCCAAGTAGCACAAACCCTGTGGGCTTACTGATGTAGCCTCTCGTCATGACTGCCGAGTTAGAATGAAGTCTCAGGCGATGTTGTGAGGAAAGAATCAGGCGTTAATGATGGGGGCAGGACACGATCAAGTCTATATGGACATTGTTGATGTGTGTGCGTGTGATTAAATAGTGCTGAATGTGATAAATCATACTCCTGTTGCTCTATATACCACTTCTGAGAAAAAAAGTTACACAAGCTCTAAATGTTAGCACATGTTGCAAACAATGGCAAATATGGTTTTGTTGTTTGCATTTGACTTTGTATGCAACTTTTGTTTGCCAAGTTAAAGTGGGTTGTAGGGCTTATTAGGCATCGCTTCAGGGTTATTACATTACTGTTGAAATCGCTTCAATCCTATTTCAAACATTACAAGCAGCCTCATGGTTTTCATTTTACTTGTGGTCATGGATGACGTGAAAATGATCCAGTGGAGGTCAACAAGCGTGTATTCTTTATTATTAGGTTACATGTTAATATGTCATTATGACAAGTTCATACAGAAAAGAGGAACGCACAATAAATTTATACAGACCCAGTCATACAGCTCGTAAAAAAAAAAAATGATCTCAAGAAGTTTCCACACCTTGATTATTTATTCAGTACCATGTAACAAAACTACATGTTTTGGACAACATCTACCGCAACCATTCAAAAGCTGGGGTTTTTTCATGTTTTTGAAAGAAGTCTCTTATGCCTATCAAGACTGCATTTATTTGGTCAGAAATACAGTCAAATGTAAAGCTGAATTCTCAGCATCATTACTCCAGTCGTCAGTGTCACACGATCCTTCAGAAACCATTATAATATGCTGATTTTATGTTCAATAAATATTTCTTATTATGGATTCTTTTTTTTCAGCACTCTAAAAAATGCGGGGTTGTTTCAACCCAAATTTGGGTCAAATATGGACAAACCCAAATGTTGGGTTAAAAATGTAATGAAAAAAAAAATAAATTTCAACCCAAATTTGGGTCAAATATGGACAAACCCAAATGTTGGGTTAAAAATGTAATGAAAAAAAAATACATTTCAACCCAAATTTGGGTCAAATATGGACAAACCCTAATGTTGGGTTAAAAATGTAATGAAAAAAAATTACATTTCAACCCAAATTTGGGTCAAATATGGACAAACCCAAATGTTGGGTTAAAAATGTAATGAAAAAAAAAAATAAATTTCAGCCCAAATTTGGGTCAAATATGGACAAACCCAAATGTTGGGTTAAAAATGTAATGAAAAAAAAAATAAATTTCAACCCAAATTTGGGTCAAATATGGACAAACCCAAATGTTGGGTTAAAAATGTAATGAAAAAAAATAAATTTCAACCCAAATTTGGGTCAAATATGGACAAACCCTAATGTTGGGTTAAAAATGTAATGAAAAAAAATACATTTCAACCCAAATTTGGGTCAAATATGGACAAACCCTAATGTTGGGTTAAAAATGTAATGAAAAAAAATACATTTCAACCCAAATTTGGGTCAAATATGGACAAACCCTGATGTTGGGTTAAAAATGTAATGAAAAAAAATAAATTTCAACCCAAATTTGGGTCAAATATGGACAAACCCTAATGTTGGGTTAAAAATGTAATGAAAAAAAATACATTTCAACCCAAATTTGGGTCAAATATGGACAAACCCTAATGTTGGGTTAAAAATGTAATGAAAAAAAATACATTTCAACCCAAATTTGGGTCAAATATGGACAAACCCTGATGTTGGGTTAAAAATGTAATGAAAAAAAATACATTTCAACCCAAATTTGGGTCAAATATGGACAAACCCTAATGTTGGGTTAAAAATGTAATGAAAAAAAAAATACATTTCAACCCAAATTTGGGTCAAATATGGACAAACCCAAATGTTGGGTTAAAAATGTAATGAAAAAAAATACATTTCAACCCAAATTTGGGTCAAATATGGACAAACCCTAATGTTGGGTTAAATATGTAATGAAAAAAAAATTACATTTCAACCCAAATTTGGGTCAAATATGGACAAACCCTAATGTTGGGTTAAAAATGTAATGAAAAAAAAATTACATTTCAACCCAAATTTGGGTCAAATATGGACAAACCCAAATGTTGGATTAAAAATGTAATGAAAAAAAAATACAGTTTAAAGTGAAAGTTGAAGTTGGGTTAAAATTTGAAATTGCATTTTTAAGCCCACATTTGGGTTTGTGCATATTTGACTCAAATTTGGATTGAAACAACCCAGCATTTTTTTAGAGTGAGGATAATTTAGTGAACAGGAAGTTAAAAAAACATTTATGTGAACTCTAAATCTTTTGTAACGTTATGAATGTCTTTATTGTCACGTTATTTAATTTAATATGTCCTTCCTGAATAAAAGTGCCCCCCCCCCCACAAAAAAAATGTAGTAGGTAGAATGTGAATGTCTGTACTGTTTCATGTCAGCATTAATGATTAATATATCAATGATAGCAAGATAACAATACAAAGATAAAAATAATTTTACATTGTAATAACAAAATACGAGTGGCACTTGCCCAGAAACAATTGGTGTTGTGTGTGAATGACTGTACAGATGCTGCGGGGGTGTTCTGGGTGTTTGCTAGGATGCTACTTGCTACTAAGAGAACAAGTTTTCCCAGGCTGAGATATGGCTAGGATCATATGTATAGGATTTTTTTATTCTTCGTCCAAACACAAATTGTCGTGACAAAGACACTGATAGGTTATGATGTACTGGTTTATGTCAAATTGTCATAACAAAGACATCTCAAACAGTGTCATATTTGCATTAAAAATGTCATAATTGAGCAAATGACATTTAATGACAGTTGTCATAAACATGCATAAAACCTCATGTCATGATTATGAAGGTGTCATGTCAGTGTCATGCACTCCCCTTCAAGTAACCGTGTAATTTCTATAGTCTCTCATGTTACTTTATCCTCATTTGCGTCAGAGTGATGTGATGTAGTGGTTAAATATCTGAGCTGTTAACTAAATCCCGTAGGGGAGTGCTCCGGACCGTGAACTATCACTATGTCCTTGAGCAAGACATTTCTCAGGAGGGCTGTCCTGATATACAGTCTGCCAAAATGCTGTTAACACTTGTATATATTCATTCACTCAGGACACTGAATTCATGCGAGGCTGGAACTGGTCCTGCAAAACACCCACACACACTGTATAAACTATATTCTGTCCTCTAACCCTAAACCTATCCATCATCACAGGTAACTCTGCATTTTTACATTTTCAAAAAACATAATTTAATGTGATTTATTTGCCGTTTTTCTAATGGGGACCAAAAAATGATCCACAAGTACAAGGATTTCAGATATTGCCATCTTTGTCCTCATAAAATAGGGTTTACATGAACACACACACACAAAGACATTTGATAAGCTCTTATATTAACAGGAATAGTTCATCGATTTAAAAAAAACATATACACTTCTGTTCATCAGTTGGTGAGATGGTAAGATTTTTAGTGAAAGTAAACGCTAAAACAGAGAAGAAATATTGAGAAATAATGCAATTTAAAATAACTTTTTATCTGTTTTATTACATTTAAAATGCAATTTATGCAAAACTGAATTTGCAGCATCAACAGAAATTTCTGATCCTTCAGAAATCATTCTAATTATGATCTGCTGCTCAAGAAACATTTCTTATTATAGTTATCAATATTGATAGTTGGAAACCTTGATAGATTAGCCAACAACAACAAAAATCTTACCAACCCCAAACCTTTTAAAGTTAGTCCATTTTCATTTTGAGTAAATAACAACTTAAAATATCAGCTCTTGCTCACACCAGGCAACCTTATGATTTCATAAGACTTTTATAATATTTTATTGGTGCTTTTAATTGACATTTTTGGAGCTTGACTGCAGCGATCATTACCATTCACCTTTATTATACAAAGAGGAACACTCAGGATATTGAAACATGCTCCTTTTATGTTTTACAGATTAAAGAAAGTCATAGAGATTTGGACGACAAGAGGGTGAGTAAAGGACGACAGAATGATCATTTCTGAATCCAGTTGAAATAACTCAAGTAATACTTGAACTCTTATGACATGTAGATGTGACGTTTACTCTGATTCTGAGGTGAACCACTGCAGCACCGGTTCCTTGTTTTCTGCCAGCCACGTAATCTTGGCTGTCGTCTTCTCGATGGCCTGCTGCAGTGCTTGAGTTCCCGAGCCGAATCCGGTCTCAGCGTTGTCCTTTTTGAACTGTTTCAACTGAACAAACACAGCAAGGATTTAACACTTACGTCAGGTGAGTTTTTATCAATGTTTATCAACCTCTCACACTAGTGCATGCAATAGCCTTTTGCCATGTGGTTCTTCTAAAGTCAAAGTTCACATACCTGACTGAGTTCAAATGGAGTGCAGAATCTATTGGTAACATCACCAATTAATCTGGAGAACGTGAATGATCCAGTGCCATACCTGTTGAGTAAAACCAACATCATTTTCTTCTGCTCAATCTGTGTGTCAGTGAGAGTGTTATTGTATTTGCCACACTTACACTTTGAAGAAATAGAAATAGTTTGCCCGGAAAAAGTCCCATGCCAAAGGTTGGCCAATGATATTACTGGCAATGTACCCAATGGTGGAAGCGGCATCCTGCTTGCGGATCTTTTCTGGATTCATTGTATATTCCAGGTACCTCAATAAAACATGAAACAATTTACACATTATACTTTGTATTTCCGATAGTTTTACCAAGTGTGTACACAAACTGTCCTTGTGTTCAAAAATACATTTTTAAGAATGTACAGTAATTCATATGCAGGCACTTGAGCACCATTTCTGTAATGAACATTCATTGATTTTTGAGTTCATATTTGATACGTGATATTTGTTATTGTGGGTCCTTCTTTGGTAATTTTTGACCGAAACATGATATTTTGTTTGTTTTCTCTCAAATGTTTTACATTATCAGAATGGCAGGAAACTTGGTAAAGGTTTTGGCACTTGCTCTGTGAACACACACACACACACACACTCAAATCATGAGCATGATTCTGAAAGGTTAAATGGTTCTAAAAAAATAAAATAAATAAATAACTTGTGCTCTTCGGAGTCAAAAATGGGAACAGATTTAATCTAGTGGAATATTTTGGTACTGCGCCCTATCAAAATCTAACTGGAATATCAAGGTTAAATTTGGAACATAACTTTTTTTTAGATTTATGGCTTTGATTTTCTCACAGTTTTAGAGTAAAATGTGTTTTGCAAAATATACATCTTATGTAAAAAAATTTATTGTATTTTTGTGCATTTTTCATAACAATAAACGTAAAATTCTTTAACTTTAAGTTTACTTTTTTTTCACCTCAACAAGTTTCGTCTTTAAAAAGAGACCAACTAAATTCTGTGCTACAAAACATTCAAAATTTATGACAGTTTAATTTGGAAATCCAGAGAGTTACATAAATAAAAAGTCTGGGTGCTTTAGTTGTCCCGAGAGTCCCTTAAAAAGTGCAATTAGAAGGCTGAAATACTCATAAAAACGCTGCTACATAATCTTTTGCTGTAACACATAAAAAAGCATACTGCATAATAAGCATATGAATATTCAGCAATATTAATATGTGAAAAATGTTTGACTGCTAAATCAAAGTCATTGTTGTAAAAACACATTTTGTTAAGAAAATAAAACTGGAAATGATGTACAGTATAGTGATTATCTAAAAATAGTATTATTTAAACATTTGTCCTTTAAAGTCATCATAAAATCCTCCCCACTGAAAACTGAATGTTGCAGTGTTCAATGTATTTGTCATTCAGGAATTTCTTGGATAAGCATTTTAATTTAGAATTATTATTTTTTCTCTTCATAATTTCAGCCATTCTTATTTGTCTTTGAGCTTTGTGCTTTCCCACAGCTACCTGTTCAGTAACCAGGGCACTTTGGTGCAGGCCAGAGCCGCTCTCAGTTTGACAGCTTCAGCTGCAACCGTGGCCTTCTGGAACATCTGCCAGCCAAAGTTCCATTCTTCTGCACCACCCGCAGCGATGGCGTCGCAGTACACCGTGGACCTCAGGTTAGGATGAATCCTGAAAGGTATGAGGAAAAGAACGACCATCTGACCAATTCCAGGGCGAGAATTATAAGGAGGTGTGTGTGGGGGCATCGTCTCTCTCTATTTAAGGCTTGTTGTCCTTGACTGTTCCCTGTTAAAGGGATAGTTCACTTTGAAATTAATTTTTATATGTTTTAGCTTACCTCAAGGGCATCCAAGATGTAGATAATTTTGTATTTTCAATTTAGAAATTTTGCAGTCAAACCGGTGTTGTCTGTCACTCATATAATGGAGGTCTATGGGGTCCACCTATGGGTCCAACAAACCGCTTGTTTCGTTTCTTAGGCCATCAATGTGTACTTACGTTTACGAGTCATTAAATCATGTTTAATTTGGACTTCTCTGTGCATGCTCTTTGAGGTGGTGACCATAGACCTCCATTATATGACTGACAGACACGAACGGTTTGACCTAAAAATATCAAAATTGAAAATACTGTGGAAACAAAGACACCTACATCTTGGATGCCCTTGAGGTAAGCTAAAACATATCAAAAATTAATTTCAAAGTGAACTATCCCTTTAATGACACGGTAAAGCCCTCGGACACGTCGACGTGATTGATTACAAGGTAGTTCGTGATGTAAGGAACACCAGCAATTTCAAACCGCATTTTTAAGACTGTCTTTAGTTTACTGAAGTTTTAAAGAGAAAATACTTAATTGATGAATTGGTTGTCGTAAAGCATATGTAATTAATGTTATTAGGCTTTTGATTGACTATTTTATCAAACAGCTAATAATGTGTTGGTAATGTTACACAATTGTTCCTGTTTGCCATTTCAGTCTACCGTCTAACAAACAATCATCAGAAACGCAAATCAGAATATCAGTGGATAAAGGCGCTAACATGATTGGTTACAAAGTACAACCGTGTTTTTGAGACTGTCTTTAGATCACTGCAGTTTTAAAGAGACAATACTCAACAATGGTTTTGACTTATGAATTTGCACATGGTTTGTCTTAAATCATATTCACCACACAGACACATATTTTCACCTCAGGGGGACTTACCGGTACATTTCTGGAAAAAAAAAATCCAACTGACCCCAAACTTAATCTAACTGACCCCTAAATGAATAATGCAATATCTCACCTGTAGTAACTCACCAAAAACCCTTTGTAAAAATAAAAATATAAAAGTAATTGTGTACTGTAAATACATGAAGGGATGTATTGTAATCACAGTAACAAATGCCCTTGGCGCTGGCCCTGGAGAGAAGTGTTACTAAGTGCTTAAATGGATTTCAGTCTAGATATGTAATAAACATTTAGCAAAGGAAAACCTTTGGATGTTTATTGTAGATAAAGTAAGACAGAAACTTTTCCCTCAGCTGTAGGCAAAGGCAAGCACACGTTTCAAATCAGTGCTTCTCCCGTGACGTGAGACTATAGCACTAAATCAATCCCTTATTATATCGCCATCTACTGTTTAAGAAGAGGAAGTTCCTCAACTGCATTTAATCAAGATGTAGGCTAATCATTTGCTTTAACTTTCCTTAAATGACTTTCCTTTTCAGATGAGGTGACGAATCCCTCTTTCCAACCCGTCCCCTCAATAGATATAACAAAATCATGATCAAACAAGCACTAGAACTTGTCAAACACACACATACGATGCACCATTTTGAAGAACTGGCAAAGTAGATCATTTCTATATTGTTGAAATTGCTCAACTTGTTTCTGTGGTTTGCACTCACGCGTTGACATGAGGATTCTGCATCCATCTTTTGAACCAGCTCTTGGTTAGTTCTCTGCATCCCTCCACGCCGGTACTGCAGGCTAGTGAGAGTGCAATGATCTGTGTAAACCTGAGAATAAAAATATGGCACATTATTAAACATAACTTAATATTATTCTTCTAATAGGGTCTGGGAAGTGTGTGACATAACAAGAGATGTAATCTTACTGATCAGTGTGGCCAGAGGGAACCGTTGTCCAGTTTGAGCTGATAGTGCCAAAATGTTCAAACAGAGGTTTGACTTGTTTCTTGAGATAGGCCTGAAAGAAGTACATACAGCAGTTCATGTAATCTATCTGTTTTACTCTGATTATAAAGACGAGGTTTAACCAACCTGCAAGGCACCGTAAACTTCACTGCGGCCGAACAACTGGAAAAAATAGTTCAGATTCCGAAGCGCTGCCTCCCATGGAATGTATTCCCGCTCATGAATGAGATATTTAGTTGTCCTCAAAGCGAGTGTTATGTTTATAATGGATGCTCTGGAAAAAATAAAACAAAACATGACAGTTTGACAAGGAATACATGCATGCGTGCCCTCACATTTCCCACACTTTTTGATTGGTGAATGTTCATGACTTACAATTGTTTGTGATTACTGGATAAATACATATTTTTGAAAATCCTTTATATTCATGCTGATTTACTTTTGAATCATTTAGACTAAATTGACTGACTCATACTCATAAGAAATGACTCGAAAGAATAATTCACTCACGAATCAGACTTTAAAGTGCCTCGTTGTGGTGCCTCGAATATCTCCTTTAATGTGATGTGTAATGTAGCTTTCTGTGTGAATGCAAACGATCTGCAAAGTTGTGAAGCCGAAAGTGCACGATAAAAAAGTTGCTTCAAATCTCTGAGGTCTCCATATAATGGACTTCAATGGGAACCAAACGGTTCAAGGTCCAAAAAAAGACAGTTTCAGTGCAAACTGTTCAAAGGGCTTTAAACGATGAAATGGCTTAAATCTCCTCTGAGCTTTCCTCTTTTTCTTGCTGATTTTGACTCTTTTATTTTGTCCTTTAGACTTATAAATAACAAGAAAAATTTGCTGATTTATTCAAAGACATGACTTGACCTTATTATTATGCTTTTCTTTCTTTCTTTTTATGTATTACATGATTTGATGTATGCAAACCTGGATGTTTATTTTGTTTGTTTGTACACCTTGCTTAATTTCCCTGAGTTGGTTGTTATGTATAAGTTCTGCAATAAAAAAAAAATTGCGGTGATTAGCCACTTGATGGCGCCGTAACTGTTAAAAAGATTTCAAAACCATGTTTCCTTAGTAAATTTCCATCACTGATCTAGGTGGTTAACGCCACTATTGTATTCGTCTGAAAGAGAAAAGTCATAGGCTACACCTAGATGGTTTGAGGGTGAGTAAATCATGGGCTAATTTTTATTTGAAAGTGAACTAGTCTTTAAAAGCACGTCATGCCTGATAATATATTGTTTGAATTAAATTAGATTCATTTCAATTACTTTCCTAGGACAAAAAAAAACCCTTCTCAGATCGTGGGTACCCTGAAACACACTAAAATTCAAAAGATTAGGGTTGGTGTGATGTTTTAATATTTTTGAAAGAAGTCTCTTATGCTCACCAAGGCTGCATTTATTTGACAAAAAATACAAATTACAATATTGTGAAATATTGTTACAAATAAAAAGAACTGGCCAAGATACATTTCTTGTTAGTATCAATTTTGAAACCAGTTGTGCTGATTAATATTAAAATTGATGAATATAAAGTTCAAAAGAACAGCATTTATTTGAAATATAATTAAGTTGTAATATTATGTCTTTACTGTCATTTTTGATTAATTCAATGCATCCTTGCTGAATAAAAGTATTCATTTCTGCACAGAAAAAAAAAATACTGACCCCAAAATTTTGAACAGTAGTTTACATGGAATCTTAATAAATCTCACCGTGCTAGATTAAACGCATCATCCAGAATCTGTGCTCTGTTCACCACAGGAATCACCTATGTAAAGGAAAGATGATAGTTTTTATGTCTTTCTGGCATTTTCATGACTGTCCTTTCTCATAATTTTCATGCAGGACCTGGTGATTCGACTCCAGTTGGCTGAGGAGTCGTTCCCAGTTGCCAAGGTCGTAGTTCACTCTGAAGTATCCTGACACATGGAGGTTGGCCAGCACCCATTCGCCTCTGCTGACTTTCATGGGTTTGTGAATAGCTAAGAGCAAATAAAATAAGGTCAATTTCATGTACTATCTTCAAACAAGGAGAAAGCATTTCATTTGACAGTAAATTGCCATTTTAATTGACAGGCGTGTGATCTGTCATACAGCTACAACTAGTAATAATTAGTAATACTAATAATTATTATGCTACTGTTCAAACATTTACAACGTTACAAAAAAATTCTATTTCAAATAAATAATAAAAAAAAGTTTTTAAGTTTATGTTCATCAAAGTATCCTGGAAAAAAACAATTGTATTTAACATTGATAATAATAATAAATGTTTCTTGAGCATCAAATCATCATATTACAATGATTTGTGATGGATCATGTGACACTGCAGACTGAAGTAATGATGCTGAAAATTCAGCTTTGCATTACAGGAATAAATTAAATATGAAATATTATTAAAATAAAAATACATGTTATTTAAATTACAATTACATTCACAATATTACCGTCTTTTAAAAACGTAATTCTTTAAAAAAAAAAACTTTGAACATTAGTGTATTTTCAAATTGAAATCGGAAATTTCAGAATTGTAAACTTGAATTAATTAGAAAAAGGCAAGAACCTTTTCACACACTGATGATGCTTTTTTTGATTTTTTAATTTTTTTTATTTAAAAAATTGTGTGTACATTTATAACACTATACTTTTTATTATATCACCTTTGCATCAAATGACAAAAAAAAAATCGTTAACGCTGCTGTGAGGGTGTTTCTAATACAGCGGTTATTTTTTCTCTTTTTGAAAGTTGTGAAAATGCTATTGTGGTGTCTTTCTTTTGCTATTTAAGCAAATGGGAACACAACAAATATATTTAATGTAGTCTTTCATTCTACCGCTATAGAAGTTTACCCAACTATGACGCCTTCAGCTTCTGAGAAACCCTTAAATATGGTCAATTACTGTAAATAGTGCATTACGAAAACTAAGCTTGAACTAAACTAAAAATGACACTATTACTATTACAAGCAATCAGGTGAAAGTCTGACAAGAGCAGCCTTTAACAACTTTTCAGAACATTCTGGCAACTACAGAGCGACATGTGAACAATTGCTCTTAGCAACACCCTGGCAACCACCCAAAACAGTCTGGCATTGTGATTGCAAGTTTTGCACTGGGAACACTTTTTAAAAATGTCTTCAGACAAAGTAAAAAAAAATGTATGCATGCACTCAAGGCTTTCTATCAAGCCAAATAGTTTTGTATGCTTCACTCCCTTTTCCAAAAACATATTCATGCATGCTGGCCCCTGTAGAATAAGGAGTAACATTTGACTCTTTGCCCACTACAGATTGGCCCTTGCGGGGGAGTGCAAAAACTCATAACAACAAGAACCGAGTGATCTGCATCGAAGACCTGTAGCAAGACTTTGAGGACTTTAGAAGGTTTAATGTACCTGATTTCTGTAGAAGCCACAGCTGATCCTGCACCTGGTCTCTTTTCATCCATTTGATGGGCACGAACCATTCGTAACTGAGGTTTAACACAGCAGTTAGACTTATAGGAAGGGTTTTCAAATGATCTATGAGAATGAAAATGCTTGACAACATACTTAAATTCAGATTTCCTATCCACCACTGCATCTTTTTCCAGGAGAAAGTGCTTTTGGCTGACGTTGCCAGTTCGAGTGTCAATGGTGACTACTGGGTAGCCCATCTGTAGTATCCAGCGGTTCATGATCTCGTGAACACTATACGGTAGTTTCACCCCTGGAGTTTGATCTACTGCCTGGTTGAGACGTGAAAATGAGCATAGCATGTCTCACAAATAAATCTCAAACAGTTTAATATCCCACCTTTTGAAGATGATCCCAGAGGTCTGAATAGACTGTGCTTCCAAAAGCAAACTGGTTCAGATAGTTCTGTGGGAGAGGAACAACACAAACTCTTTTCTCTGGCCGTGAAGTATGGAGTAAAAGTTGCAACTTGTTCAAAAACTTGAGGCTACAGTAAGACTTACACTGAGTCCCTTGGCAAACACAGGCTCTGTCAGGAATTCTGAGAGCATTTTAAGCACTGCAGCTCCCTGTAATGACAAACATATGTAATGCTTTTATCTCTGACTGGACTGAAACTACCCTGACTGCTTTATGACTGTATTTGCAGCCCCTCAAGGAATGCTGCTTTTTGGTGGTCTTTCGGATTTCCACATTATCAGGCCTGAAGCTGAAACCCAACGTGGATAATCCAAAGAGTTTTCATTCTAATCAATGCTAATGTTACGGGTGGTTGCCAAGATGTTGCTAGGTTGTCGTTAAGGTGTTCTGAATAAATATTAGCACATGTTCTGAGTGGCATTGTGGTTAGATGGTTCTGAATGGTTGTTAGTCCATTTATAGCCAGTTGCTAGGGTGTTTTTTATGGTTGCTAGGGTATTGTGGGTAGTTGCTACAGTAATCGGAGTGTTCTAAGTGTTTTTCTTTTCTTGGTGGTTGCTAGGGCATCACTAAATTTCTAGGTCTCATTTTAATGTGTTTTTAAATGTTTAATCAGTATTGAATGTAAAACAGATGTCCAGTTGCTAGGGTGTTATTGGTGGTTGCTAGGGTGTTGTGCTATGGAATTCTGAGTGTTCTTAGTGTTTTTCTTTTCTTGGTGGTTACTAAATTTCTAGGTCTTATTATAATGCTTTTTTACGTTTTTGAGTAATTAGTGCTGGATGTTAAACAGATGTCCAGTTGCTAGGGGGTTTTGAGTGGTTGCTATGTTATTCTGAGTGTTCTTATTGTTTTTAGGCTCTTGTCGGTTACTAGGGCATCACAAAATTTCTAGGTCTTATGATAATGCGTTTTTGCAAAGTAAACCTGTTACATTGTTGCGGGTGGTTGCCAGGGTGTTGCTAGGGGATTGTTAAGGTGCTCTGAGTAATTATTAGCACATTGAAATCCTGTCTCTACTGTGTTTTGAATGGCCTTTATCCTATTTTCTATCCAGTTTCTAGTTCTTGGGGGTCACGATGGTTTGTGGATGGTTGCCAGGGTGTTGCTAGATGGTTGTTAAGATGTTCTGAGTAGTACTTAGTGTATCACTATCTGGTTTGGTTGTTTTGCTTAGTGTTGCTATCCTTTTGCTGGGGTTTTCATTATGGTTGTCACTGCCAGGGTGTTGTAATGTGCTTGTTAATATGTTATTTGTGTCACTGTCTGGTAGCTAGGGTATGGTTGCTGTGGTATTCTGAATGTTCTTAGCATTTTTCAGTCCAGTTGCTAAGGTGTTCTATTGGATGCTAGGCATTGCTAAGTTTCTTGGTCTTACTGTGTGATAATGCAGTACCTTGCTGTAGGATATGGTGCTGAACATTTCGCTAATTTCTGATGGAGTGTTGACCTCCTCCTCCTTTCGGGAGAGAGGGTGAGAGGAAGTCAAGCTATCCACAGCAAACGCTCTTTGCAGGTCGTACAGAATGATCTGGTCTTTCTGGTGAGGGACAGAGTTGATCATCAATTAAGTGTTACAAGGTGTGTCTCTTCTAAACATTTCACTGAACTGCAATATGCAACTCTGCATCATACTCTCAAAGGTGAAGTGTGTACTGTAATGTCTGCACCACTAATTGCTATACACGAAACTGCAAAAATAGTAATAAAGATTTCCAGGTTTACCAAGAACTCAAGAAGAAAATGAATTTATAGCCTGTCTTACCAAGAAGAATTATTTATTTATTTTAGACTCAAAGAATTTATTTATTTATTTTAGACTCTAGCATCCCTGCGACTACATAAGACAAGTGATTTGGATGATGGATGGATGGATTCCATTGATCCATCATCCACAATCCATTCATCATCCATCAACCATACATCATCTGTCCGTCATCCATCATCTACCCATTCACTTATCTATTCATCCATCTATCCATACGTCTGTCTATCCATCCATTCATCCATCATCCACCCATCCATCTATCCATCCATCTATCCGTCCATCCATCCATTCATCCATCATCCACCCATCCATCTGTCCATCCATCCTTCAATCATTCATTCATCTATCTATCCATTCATCCATCATCCACCCATCCACCTATATATTCATCCATCCATCCATCTATCCATCCATTCATCCATCATCCACCCATCCATCCATCCATCCATCCATCATCCACCCATCCATCCATCCATCCTTCAATCACTCATCCATCCATCATCCACCCATACACCTATTTATTCATCCATCATCCATCCATTCATCTATACGTCTGTCCATTCATCCATCACCCACCCATCCATCCATCCATCCATTCATCCATCACCCATACATATGTCTGTCTATCCATCCATTCATCCATCATCCACCTATCTATTCATCCATCATCTATCCATTACCCATCCATTCATCCATCCATCCATTATTCATCCATTCATTCATCCATCAACCATACATCATCTGTCCGTCATCCATCATTGACCCATCCACCTATCTATCCATACGTCTGTCCATCCATCCATTCATCCATCATCCACCTATCTATTCATCCATCCATCATCCACCCATCCATCCATCCATCCATCTATCCTTCAATCATTCATCCATCCATCTATCCTTCAATCATTCATCCATCCATCTGTCCGTCCATCCATCATCCATCCATTCATCCATACGTCTGTCCATCCGTCCATTCATCCATCACCCACCCATCCATCCATCCATCCATTCATCCATCATCCACCTATCTATTCATCCGTCATCCATCCATTACCCATCCATTCATCCATCATTCATCCATCCATTATTCATCCATCATCCACCTATCCAGTCACAAGGCTAGCTAAATGAATTAATTAAATACAGGCTCTTTTTTTAGGTTTACCAATAATTATTTGGCTCTGTTCCAATTGCAGGAACTAACTGAACCATGCTAACCAGTCAAACTTTGACCCCTTTGCTTAAACAAACAGACACCAATTAGAGCCCCAGTGTTTACACTCCTCAGTAATTCAGCCTAAAAATTCCTGTTAAACTGTTCGTTTAATGTGGGATAGAGAAATTTCCTTGATAACTATTTAATATTGTGTGCATATGATTATCTGGACATCTTAAAAGCACCTCAAAGAAAGGGACTATTTAACAAATCCTTTGAATGATGTTCTTACAATGTTCCAGGTAGGCTCAGCATGATCAGCGCCCAGATACTCCACGTATGAAGCAAACCCCTCGTTCAGCCAGAGATCATTCCACCATTTCAGCGTCACAAGGTTTCCAAACCACTGGAAGACATTAATCACATGGCAAACTGTGTGAAGCAAAAAGTACTCAGAGTCCCCTTTACTAGGCCTAGACGTACCATGTGAGCCAGTTCGTGAGAAACCACAGTCGCAATCCTCTGCTTGTTGCCATTGGCAGACGTCTCCGAGTCGTATAGAAGCGCAGTCTCTCTGTAAGTGACAAGACCCCAGTTTTCCATTGCTCCCGATTCAAAGTCAGGCAGCGCAATCTGATCTAAGAAAAGAGGAGGATAAATTTGCATTCTGCTGTACTTTGAAGGTTTTCCTAATGAAGTTGGTCGTATACCTGACTTAGAAAGTGGATAGCTGGTGTTGTAATATTTCTCAAAGAACTCCAGTATTGGCTGAGTGATACTGAGTGCATAATCTCCTTGCCCATCTCCAATGGCTTTTTTCCGAGCCCATATTCTTACCTGTGACAATGCAAACAAACATAATTTAACTTCATGTCTGTAAAGAGTTTAGATTAGTAAATTGGCATGGAGGTACTACCAAAACACCCTTGTTGTCTTCAGCCCTGATGTACGTGAAATCACTGACGAGAAATGCAACAAGGTATGTTGACATCCTCTTTGTGGGTTCAAATACCGTCCTGGTAACGACCGTTCCATCAATTTTGACGTTTTCTGTCTCTAAGATGAAAAAATAAGAAACAACAGTTAGATCTGTTTATTGGGCTGTCAGTAAATTACCGTAAAATATTATATAGGGATGTGAAACGATTAATCGCATCCAAAATAAAAGTTTGTGTTTACATAATATATGTGGGTGCACTGTGTATAATTATTTAATATATATATATATATATAAATACACACACATGTTTGTATATATTTAAGAAATATTTAAATTTTTTCATGTATATACGGTATATAGATTTATATATAATTCATATTATATATAAATATTTTATATATAATTTTTTTTTTCTTAAATATACATGCATGTATATATATATATATAATTATACACAGTGCACCCACATATATTATGTAAACACAAACTTTTATTTTGAATGCGATTAATTGTGATTAATCGTTTGACAGCCCTAGTATTTTGAGTTAAATTAAATATGTACCTTGCATTTACTTTATGAATTTGGCAGATGCTTTTGTTTACAACCACCTACTTTGCTTTTAAAGAGATAGTCCACCCAAAAAATAAAAAATTCTGTAGTTTCTTCATCCCCAAACCTGTATGACTTTCTTTGTTTTGTGGAAGGGGATATTTAAAAAAATGTTGGTAACCGTTTCATTTCCCACTGGACAAAAATATAATCAATGGGATACAAAACAGTTTGGTTACCAACATTCTTCAAAAGATATTTTGTTCGGCAAAAGGAAGAAATGCATACAGGTTTGAAACGACATGAGGATGAGTAAGTATGTCAGAATTAAAATTTTTCGGTGGACTGTCTCTTTAAGGTATATCATTTATCAGTTCATGCATTCCCTGTGACTTCAGCATAGATAGTGCCATGCTGTACTGTTTGAGCGATAAGAAAAGTCCTTTAATTATGCCAATTTAGTTAATCAAATGCCAGGTAATTAATCAAATACATTTATAACAAAATTACCCATTAAAACAAATGTAAGGGGTTTTAGAAGTCAATTATTGTTAATTTGATTTCCATATTTTTAAACATAAGTCTGTCACTACAGTCAGACTGCAGCAGCAGCAATACATTTTGCATTTGAAAAAAAAAAACATTTTTAACTGAGACATATTAGAAAATCTTGTCAGGATTTAACTAATTAGATACAGAAATATTGCTTTGATGTGAAATTAGCCCTGCAAGCAAAACATGATTTGAGGCAAAGGTTTGCTTATGTTCAGATAGTCAAGATTAGGTTTGAAGCTGATGGCAGTTAAGGGAATAACTACAAGGAAAACAAACAGAGCTGAAGTGAATGCCAACATGAGGAGGACAGATGTTGCCAGATGACACATAACCAGCAGACTACCATGACTCAAAAAGTGCAAAGTTTGCATGTCATTTGTGGTTTTTAAGGAATTGGTCATTTCTTTCCTGTTGCTATAAACCTATGAAGTCTTTTTAAAGGGACAGTCCATCCAAAAATTTGTTGCTCATTAATTGCTCACTCTCATGTCATTCCAAACCCGTAAGACTTTAGTTCATCTTCGGAACACAAATAATGATATGTTATAATTGAATCTGAGAGCTTTTTGTTTCTCCATTGACAGCTACGCAACTACCACTATAAAGCCCCAGGAAGGTAGTAAAGACATCATTAAAGTAATCCATGTGACGCCAGTGGTTGAACTTCCATCTTTTTAAAGCAATATGAACTTTTTTGAAGCAATATGAGTGCTTTGTTTGCACAAAAAACATAATTTACCACTTGTTTTACAAAATATTATATGCATGGTGTGTTGAGATGAGAGCAGGCCCTGTTGCGTGAACACACGTTACTTGTAGGTTTTTTGATATCGTTGATCATTTATTTTGATATTTTTAAATAATATTTAAATTAGAATTGGCAGGTGACAAAATAATTGAATTGCTGATTAGCCTAAATGTGTCTTAGAAAAAAATAAATCTTGATTGATTTGATGCATTTTAAGATATGTCAGTGCAAGTTGCTTTCAGTTCAGATAGTTTAAACATGCATTTTAGGGACTAAATGAATGTGAAATCGGTCATCGGTCTTTCAGTGAGCACAAATGAGATTAGTGAAAGCGATGGATTGATTGTCTTACTCATTTCCTGACTGTTGGACAGTGCTGTGGTTCCCAGGTCATGGATAAGAGTGATATGAAACACAGCTTTCATGCCAGGTTCATCGAAACACGGGAAAGCTTTTCTAGCGTAAGTGGCCTGCATCTGAGTGATGGCAATAATTCTGGAAAACATTAGAAAAGTGTTTGATCACAACAACTAGCTTTGAACAAATGGCAACAGTTTGAGGTTTGCTTTACTTATCAATAGATTCGATTACTATTCGAATAGATTCATTCATTTAGATTCGATTCTTTTTTGTTTTTTTCAGTAAGATGTCTTATTTCTACATTTAAAGGGATAGTTCACTTTTGAATTAATTTTTGATATTTTTTAGCTTACCTCAAGGGCATCCAAGATGTAGGTGTCTATGTTTCCACAGTATTTTCAATTTTGACATTTTTCAGTCAAACCGTTGTTGTCTATCAGTCATACACGGGAGGCTGAGGGGGTCCACCAAAAAGCATGCACAGAGAAGTTAAAATTAAACAAACATGATTTAATGACTCGTAAATGTAAGTACACATTGATGGCCTAAGACACGAAACGAGCGGTTTGTGTGAGAAAACGAACAGTATTTATATCGTTTTTACCTCGTGTAATCACAGTGACGTCCAAGTGATCTGAATCAGTTGTGCAATGTCCAACTGAACCGAACTGAATCAGTTCAATGTTACGCCGGAAGTGATGGCTTGCGTGTGACGTCACTCAATATTTACACAGAGATTTCGGAAGTTTTACCTTTTACTAAACATATTTAGATATACCGAAATCGTCTTCCATTGCGGTTTCCCGTATATCTAAATATGTTTAGTGAAAGGTAAAACTTCCGAACTATAAACAAACAGTTACGTAGGCGCGCAAGCGATCAATTCCGGCGCATGCGCAGATCGAAGCGCCCGTGCCGTCAGATCATTTTGTCATGGCTATGATTACACGAGGTAAAAACGATATAAATACTTTTCGTTTTCTCACACAAACCGCTCATTTCGTGTCTTAGGCCATCAGTGTGTACTTACATGTACGAGTCATTAAATCATGTTTAATTTTGACTTCTCTGTGCATGCTTTTTGGTGGACCCCCTTAGCCTCCAGTGTATGACAACGGTTTGAATGAAAAATGTCAAAATTGAAAATACTGTGGAAACAAAGACACCTACATCTTGGATCCCCTTGAGGTAAGCTAAGCTGAGGTGAACTATCCCTTTAAATGATCTACAATGTCTATAATGAACAACATCAAGGAAAATATTTTCAGAAGTAACAGTTAAAAATGTCTTGATTTGCATTACATAAAAAATGTCATATTTGCGTTACATACAAAATATCAAAACAAGTGACTTTTAAAGTATAGCACAAGCACACTTTTGAAAAACATTTCAGAAAAAGATGTTTGATAGATTTTTAAATTATAAACTAATAAATAGCATATTGTTCAAAAGTTTGGGTTTGGTAAGATTTAAGTCTCTTATGAACACCAAGGCTGCGCTTATTTGGTTGAACAATATTATTACAATTTAAAATAACAGTTTGCTATTTTAATATATTTTAAAATGTAATTTGTGAAGCTGAATTTTCAGCATCATTACCCCAGTCTTTGGTGTCACATGATCCTTCAGAAATCATTCACTGTTACAACAGTGGTTCCTTAATATTTAAGTGGAAACTAATTTTGTCCAGGATTTTTTGATGATATTGAAAAATAAACAGCATTTATTTGAAATATAAATCTTTTGTAACATTATAAATGTCTTTGGTTGATTTCATTCCGGAATAAAGCATCTACAGACCTCAAACTTTTCGACAGTAATGTGTACTGGTAAAAATAAACACTAATATTTCGACATAGGCCTAAGTATTTTTGACATTTTATGATTGCTCCACATAACGGGAAGTAGATGTGGTTAGATTCTGAGAAATCATCTGTTTTGCAGCCAGGTGCCACATGGTTTGGTAGATTGTGTATAATGCAATAATATTCAGACATTTTTAGCTGCTTTAGTGTCCTTATACAATCTACAACATCTCACTTTTTTTCACCATCTTCCATGTATTCACTCCTGTAGAAACCATCCAGATTATCAGAAAGCTCTCCTCTGAACTCTGTATAGAGCCAGTAGGACTTCCCAGGCTTCAGTTTTCCCCCCAGCTGAATCACCAAGTACTGTGTTTCGGTCTGAAACCAGGTGGTCTTTATTGCTGGAGCTGTTACGCCGCTCACACCCATGAGTTTTGCATGGTGCCCCTTGAACAGAGTTAAGTTCAGTTTGTTGGAGTGAATCAGTATCAGATCTGTCGTCTTCACACAAGTAAACATCACTCCCGAGTCCCCAGTGAAAATATACGTCCCATTGGCGTTCATCACCAAACGAGGCCAAAGAGTCACGTTGTAGTACTGTGGAGACAAAGTGTCGGGCAGTCTGTATTTGTCCCAGGGTTCGTTCGAAGTCTTGGGGGTGGGAGGTACTGGTGACGTAGTTGCATTACTTAATTTGGCTGTGTTTTTGGACTTTTCTCGATTATAAACGACTGATAATGCAATGATGGTCACCAAGGCTATTGCAGCCAGTACCATGGCAGCGGTGGCCATATGTTTGCTGATGTAATATCCTTTCCCCATTGTTCACTGCGGTTTGAGATGAGAAAAAAAAGGTGCTGTCGCCGATGTGCGTTTTTCTTCTTTGTCGAGATGATATGCTAGTATGACATTGCTTTTAACAAAAACAAATAGATGGTTTCCATCTTCGGTGATATAAATACCTATAAAAGAAGCAATGTTCATTAAAGAGTCAAGCAAAATGATTGTAATAAAGGAATAGTTCATCCAAATATGTAGTTTCAAATGGAATGACTTTCTTTCTAAAACTCAAAAGATGTTAGGCAGAATATTCACGCTATTTGTTTCTAAACAACGAAAGTGAGTCGGGCCCTGTCACATTGGATTATTGGTTCTGTTTCATTTGCTTTTAGTTTGTTTCAATGTTCCCGCTTGTCCTTGGCTGTCATGGTTATTCATTGTTTGATTGATTGATTTCTTACACCTGTTTTTAGTTAGGGGCTGTTCACATGACACCAATTTCAAACAAAAACTGAATACTTTTTATCCTTATGGCCATTCATTTACATGACAACTGCATTTTGGGGGGCCTGAAATCACAAGCTTTTGAAAATGGGTTTCAAAGTTTTCGCCATTATCGTCTCAGTGTAAACTACAAAAAATGTATAGACTACTTTTTTCACGGACAGACAACAACATTGTCAAACCGTTCCCCGTGTTAGTTTTCATTGTTAATTTTAGTATTTTTTTATGTGCTCTTGTCATTTTTATCAGTCGTCGTTTTCTCAAGTAAAAGCTAAAAAAAAAGCTTCTGTTGCCTCAGTAAGCGATCTGTGTTTCTCACTGTTATATTTACTGTTGTCAGTACATGTATATTGGAAAGTTATGGCAAAAAACCCCTACAAACTCTGTGCTTCTCCCTACCCGCCCCAAAAATTGCAAAACCGTTTTAGCAATTTGCTGGTAAAATGTGCACTTTTTTTTTCTGTGGTGAAGAATGAAACAATGTAACTCTGTTAACCTTAATCTAAACATTATAGCTATTTAGTGTTAGTACAAAAGACCTATAATGCACATCTGGAATAATCCAATGCACTAAATCATTTTGTGCTCTTTTCTCACAGGTGCTTCCTCTTGATGGCTTGCATCATTTACCATCTTCTTGTTATCATGTGAGTTCAATCAACAAACACACGCACATATCTTAACACTTAACGGCTGCTGAACAAGAACAAGCCGGTAATTTCAATCGGATTTTAAGTGTTGACTCGTTTTGGGCCATTTTCATTGGTGCTCTATGCAACTGGCGGCAGGATATAATGGGATAGAATCCCCTACCTGTCATTGTCAATTACACCAATGGATAACGTGAGCTGTCTTTTCAAAAGAAAAATAATTTTCTGCTTGTAAGTGGGAGATGTATGTGAAAGTTCAACTTGCAGATGTGTTTGCATTGGGAAAAAACAGCACTGGTCACATAAGGGGGGCAATGAAAATATAATCATCATTACACCACTAAGGTTGGTGAAAAAAAAACAGAAATGATCTCATATTTCCATTTTTTTTTTTTTTTTAATTTTTAAAATGCTATATTAATTGCTTTTAAAAAACACTCCAAACTTTTGAACGTGTGTGTGTGGTTTATATTACATTGTGAGGACTAAATGTCCCCACAAGGATTGTAAAACCTGAGATAGCCTAGCCGGTTGGTCCCCAAGAGTACAAAAGCTTATAAATCATATCATAGAGTGAGCTTTTTTGAAAATGTAAAAAAAAAATAGGGGTCGGGTTAGCGTAAGGGGACAAAATATACAATTTTTTACAGTATAAAAACCATCACGTCTATGGAGAGTCCCAACAAAGATATCGAACCAGAGTGTGTGTGTGTTCAAACCATTCAAAAGTTTGTGGTAGCATTTAACATACCATTTTAAAATGCTAAATCATGGACAAACAAGTCCTCCAGCTGGATCAGCAAGAGCCATAATAAACCAAACCAGTATGGAAATCCACGCTTGTCTCAACTGATCTTAACAGGTATGCCAAAGACCTTATTGCAAATTATAGTTTTGCATTTTGCTTAAACTAAACGCTTGTGTCTTATACAGTCTGACAGCTTTATTCATTTCATTCTACTGTTTTAACCATTTCCATCTGGAAGTTATTTGAGGTAAGTAAATATGAACACAATATGCTACACTAAAGCACTAAACACGCACATTGCAAAGAATCCCATCTCATCCGTTGACCATATGCTAAATCACTCTGTCTGGAAAGCCATGCAACAGGCGGGAGCACAAACATCTTGCAGTAGTTTTCTTTCTTTTGAAAAGACGACTTCTTAGTTCTTTTGTGAGATTAAAGTCAAATCAAATAAAGACACACGCATGCTTGACTAAGATGAAAAGAAGAGAGTAAAAGTACACATACCAGGTATCCATAGGGAAATTCACAGAAGTGGGATAGTTGCGTTTATGATGAGGTTGATGGGAAAAACAAACACACACTCTCTCTCTCTCTGTCTCTCTCTCTCACACACACACACTCCTTCCCAGTTAGGAGGAGGGGCAAAACAAAGCTTACACATACAGTATACACACCCCAAAGCCACCTAAACACAGACACAAATGTACACGAACACACTGAGAACTCTTTGTCTGGGGTTTTAAGGGTAAAACTCACTCTGAAGTCACATTTATTGCATGTCTTTCATGGCTTATGTGTGATGTGCACAGTTTGAGACACAAGAGTTTTTTTTTTTCCTCAGGAGAAAAAGATCCCGATTTAAAATGTCTTTACTTTGGCAAGATTTTGCATTATTGAACAAAATGCAAAAATTATGCAGCCATTATACTGTTTATCATCAGCTTGTGATGAACCTCCAGGATTTGATTAGTCTCCTATTCATCAAAAAACAAAAAAAACAAAAACAAAAACACCTGGAAAGTATATATATATATTCAGATGCAAAGCCTCTAAGTGCCATTTGAAATTTTCTTCTAAAATGATGATTTTTATCAAGCTTATATATTTAAGTTCAGTAATTTCACTTAAATGACAATGAAGATTACCTATGAATTGCCATTTAAGTGAAATTACTGAACTTAAATATACAAGCTTGATAAAAATGATCATTCTAGAAGAAAATTTCAAATGGCACTTAGAGGCTTTTGCATCTGAACTCTTCATATATATACCATTCAAAAGTTTGGGGTTGGAAAGTTTTTTATATATATATATATATATAAAAAGTTTGGGGTTGGAAAGTTTTTTTTGTCTATTATTAAAATTAAAATTACATTAAAATGTCATTTATTCTTGTGATTTATTATTAGCAATGTTGAGCTGAGGAATTATGTGCAATGTTCCTCATTTGTAAGTTGCATCTGCTACATGAATAAATGCAATACAAATCTGTGCTGCATTTATGGCTTAAAAACAAAAGAGAAATTTAACAAACTGTATGAAATTCATAGAAACTCATCTGTTCTCAGTACAAGTGATAGTGTCATGCACACAGGATACAATAAACCATTTCAGCTGAGATGCAGTGCACAGGGGATGCCACACAGATAGAGAGAAAGTCTTGATGGAAATATTCACAACCTGAAGTGATCCTCATATTATTTCAGCTATTGTTTCAAGAGATGATTCAAACAAGTTATAATAACTTTAACCCCGAATCTGATGGAAATTTTCTAGTGTTGAAGTGTGAATATGTGCATGTCGTTGCACATATTAAAAAGTTGCACCTGATAAAGGTTAGATCTTATTCCACCTCCATAGCGCTGTAAAGCATCTCTCGAGATATGGCCGGCAAAGATAAGCAATTTCCTGCAAGAACAGCTGTTATGTGTTTCAAACAGCAATAACCAGAAAATCACAGCTTTAAGACTCTCTTTAGGTGGCTAAAATGAAAGTACGTTTGGCATCAAATACACACATAAGATAAGGTCTGAAAAGATACATGCAGACAACTAATACTTAAATATACCTGTTTATTTTCAAGATTATGTCTTTGAGGGTCACTGAGGTATTTTTAACTGTTCTCATAAAATCTTCCTCTTTTTAGTTAATAATAGCCATGAATCATGCGTTTCATGTATTCATGATCCATTTCATGCTACATACTATTAGAAGAAAAGTTTTAAATAAATCCGTACAGAGTCTGTCACACTGTAAAAAATATTGATGGTTTAACTTAAAAAAGTAAGTAACCTGGTTGCTTTAAAATTTTAAGTTCATTGAACTGGAAAAAGTGAGTTAATACAATGAAGGAGAATGATTTAATCATCAGAAACTCAAAATTGTGTTATCTGAACTAAATAAATTATTTAAGTTGATTTGACAAAAGAAAAAAATGTTGTGATTACTACACTGTAAAAAAAAATATTGTTTGTTTAACTTAAAAAAGTAAGGAACCTGGTTGCCTTAACATTTTAAGTTGATTGAACTGGAAAAAGTGTAAATACAATGAAGGAGATTAATTTAATCATCAGAAACTCAAAATAATAAGTTATCTCAACTAAATAAATTATTATAAAGTTGATTTGACAAAAGAAAATATGTTGTGATAACAAATCTTGAAAATATTTTTTACAAGTGCAGGTGTGTCATGTAGAACATTTTAGGGGTTCTCATCATGGGATCATTTAATGGGTAAAATTTTAACGAAATTAATTTTTATTTTGATTGAATTCTATTAATTAAACAGCTTGTAAATATACTTTGATGCTAGAAAAAAACCTTTTAAACATGAAAATGTTATACTGTACATTTAAGACATTTTTCCTTAACTGGAAAATTTACATGCAATGATATTTTGTTTAGAGAGCCTTTTACACGACATCGGTTTCAACTAAAAACAGAAAACTTTGTGTTTTGGCCGTTCATTTACCCGACAGTGGTGTTTTGGGGGGTTGAAAACGCAAGCTTTTAAAAAATGGTTTTTGAACTGCAAGGTTTGGAAACAATTTGAAACACAAATTTGTGAAAAGCGTAACATCATGCGCATACTTTTAACGTGTTCAGCCAAGAACATAGATTTGACATGAGGCTTACAAACAGCGGTTACAAAAAACGGCCATCAAAATCTAAAACATTAGTTCAGGAGGGTGGTGGAGCAGAGGCGGACCGTGGAGCGGAGCCGTCATAGAAGTGGCCAAGGCGGCGCCGTCTTGGCATGACATGAACAGTCTCTGGCTCGGCAGGACTGATGTTGATCTGAACGGTCTCTGGCTTGGCGGGCATGACGCGAACAGTTTCTGGCTCGGCAGGACTGACACGAGGCTCATGCTGAAGGGATACGGTGGGCTTGCGGACTCATCCACCAAAATCTATCCTATGACAAAGCAAAAAAAAAAAAAAAAAAAAACTCCTCCACATTTTCTTCAATTGGACAATTAACTGGCTGAAGCGTAAGAGACAAATTGCTGGGTCCAACGTTGCTCTTGTATTCTGTAATGATTTAGCTCACTAGAGGCAAGCTTGAGAACCCAAGTGCAGTTTATTAACAAAACAATCAAACATAAAACAAAAGAATGGTGTGGTATGAAACAAGAACATAGACATGAGGCAAATAGCAGTTACACAAAAAAATACTAGACAAAGACACAGGGCAAAAATGGGCTCTTAAATACACAAGACTAACGACACAAGCAACACCATGTTGAACACAACAGACAAGGGAACACAAACGTCCCCCTAAATGTGACATTATTGTGAAACAAAACATAAATGTGACCAGAATTGCCATCCCAGTGTTGAGTGACTATGGCAAGAGTTATTCAATTCACCAAATATTAAAATTGCTCAGCCTTTCGTAAATATTTAGTATTTTGAGTGAAAATATTTTTGTACCAGTGGTGGGGTAAAAAGACCCCTTTCTTACCCATACACATATACACTAGACTTCACCTTGGGGCTCTAAGCAGGCGTCAAAACCGCCGCCATCTTGGAACAGGGGTCTTGTCATGGGAAGTAGTTAGGTAAGGCTGCTATCTCTGCCTTTACTTCGAATTCATTGATGGTGGCGGACTTATGTGCAGCGTATGATGTTCATGGATGAAATTTGAACTAGGAAGAATGTTTTTTAAAAAAATATATATATTTTTCTTTTTGGAATCAATGATAAATGCATGTCTGACCGTTGGAACAAACCAAAAAAACAAGAAAAATTGCATTCATGATGATTTATGGTGATTTTATTTGCGTTAGACCTGCGTCTACTACATTGACGCTGATGCATTAAAGTGGAGGGGCTCCCCTGTTTCAAGATGGCGGCTCTATTGACGCATTCGTTCTAATGAACTGCCTATCCAAGGTGAGGTCTAGTGTAGCTATATGTCTATGTTTCTTACCAACCAGTTTGCTTCATAGATCAACAGCGAAATTAACAGACTTTAGCTTTTAATCTCTAAAAGTAAAAGGCAAGTAATTTATTAAAGCGCATATATTTTAATATTTATTTCAGGAATGTCCAAAATAGCCAAATTTTTATCAGTGAGCAGCTAACTGTGCTAGCTAACCGGCTAATGCTCACTTGAGGTAATTTATTTATGTTTTGTTCAAATGTTTTGATTTTTCCATGTAGTTATACTGCATTATGTGTAAAAAAAGGATTTGGAACATAAATATGTTATAGTAATTGTTGTTTTACCCCCCACCGGAGGTATTTTACCCCTTTACAATCCTTATAAATAACATAAGCTCTCAAACTATACACTTCTCTATTCATCTATCATACATCACTGTGATATCCTGCAGAACAATATTCTCTTAAACACTTGTTTACCAATATCTGAAAATTATAGCATTTTCCACAATCCTCTTCTTTTCGAATACATCACTGGTGTCAGTTGGTTTCTCCATGGAGATTAGTATAGCCCCGTTGTTGTCAATGGCAACAGTACAAATTTATCTTGACTCCATCTAGTGGTTATTTTGGGAAAAACAGGTGCGGCGTTTAACCCCTCTTAGTGCGGTTGCCAATGAAAGACAGAAGAAGTAAGAAGAGAACACATGACAGGATCACATGATAGACAAGAACCAGAAAAGAGAAACAAAACCCAAAAAGTGATAAGAGGCAGGTGTTTCTTTACAAGGTGGCATTGCCAACAACTGAATAATACAGTGTTTTTAGTTGTTTTCGCAAATCCATGTGAAAGGGGGTTGTTTTGACGACGCAGACAATGTCTGTTGCAAAAAGACGAACAAAAAAACATTTCTGTTTTTTAGTACATAATTGTTGTGTAAACGTACCATGAAATTGTATCAAGTAACTCATGGTTTTATAGAAAGTGTGTGTACTTTCTAAGGAGATCCCAAATTGTATATATTTTACATATACAGGCCACACAGAAAAATGATTGACAGAAATGGTAACTCTCAAGATGGTGACTTGTTCACTGTTTTTATCATTTCATTGGTCAATGGTCTGTTAATTTGCCAAACGTTTTAGACCCATTGACTTTCAGTGTGTTGACAAAAACATTTTGAACATCTTTAAAATGCCTCTTTTTGTTTTCT